CATCCACCCCCGGGACAAGCAGAACGTGGCCCACCGGCTGCACCTGGGCGCCAGGGCTGTGGCGTACGGGGAGAAAGACCTGGTTTTCCAGGGGCCGTACCCCACCCGGGCCGTCCTGGAGGTGACCAGGGCTCTGCTGAACGTCACCTACACCCAGGAGCTTGTCTTCCGCCGGCGGGACGCGCAGGCGTTCGAGGTGAGGAGGGGGAAGAAGCTTCCCCCCCGCAGGGCCGGGAGGGGGAATCCCACCTTGATGGAGGTTTGTCCCCCCCCACCCAGGTCTGCTGCTCCAGCCAACCGTCCCCGTGCAGGTGGCTGCCGGCACCCGTGGTGGCAGTGGAGTCCCACACGGTGACGCTGGCCCTGGCCGGCTGCGGGACGCTGGTGCTGGGCTTACGCTACGCCTGGGCCGAGTGGCCCTGCGAGTACCGGTCCTGCACGCTCTACAACACCCAGGGCCTGCCTGCCCCCCCCTTCCTCCTGGACACCCTGCCCGGAACAGCCGGAGGGAGGGAGCTGCTTCTCCTCCCGGGCTCCTGGTTCTCCGTGGGGATTTAGGTGAGGGGATGACAGAAAGATCTCAGACCTCTACACAAAGTGGCTCAGGTCTGCTGGCACCGTGCCTTTCCAATCTGGCTTGATTACTGTCTTATTAATTAAACGCTTTCTGGCTCCTCTTTGGCCTGAGGTCAAGGCTGCAGGGAGAAAAAAAAAAAACAAAAAAACAAGAGCGCCAATTTAAAATGAAATTTATGAAAAAATTATGTTAAGCCGAGGAGCAGGACACACTGATGGGAGCTGACCCCCTCACTGCTGCTCCTCCCTCCGTCTACGGGATGGACAGGGTGGGGAGAGAGGAGCTCTGCCAAAAAAACCCCATAAAGAAATGCCAAGACTGGGGCTGGGACATGGAGCTGCACAGGACGTGTCGCTTTGTGGTGGGAGGAAATTAATAAATAGGTAATAAACCAGGTCGGTTTATTCTTGGATCTTTTTTCCTTCAGAGGAACATCCCTCAGTCCTCCGTTCCCCCCTCCTCCCGTAACAGCAGGGAAATCTGTGTGGAAGAGGCGCGACGTGGCACCCAGCACTCGGACTAAGACAGATCTGAGTCTCTGCACAAAAAAATGGATTGTTTAACCTTTTTTTGCTGGAGAAGAGGGACAGATCAGCCCCACCCCCACCCCCAAAAAGGGGAACCCCAAATGCGGGAAGAGAGCGGGCAAGCTCAGCCCTGTCACGTTACAGACATCACCCCACCAGGCTGTATCAAAACCAGAGTTTAATGTGCTCGAGCAACTGCTGGCAACAAGGAATTGGATCAAACTGGTTCCCAGCGGGACAACCAGGCAGGTCCTGGCAGCAGCCACCCTGCCTGCTGCCTGCTCTGGGGGTCAGGCGGAACCCAGCGAGTCCCGGGAGGCTTCTCCCATCCCTTCTGCTCCAGGCTTCGTATCTGGGCAAGGGGAGGGAAGAGGAAGAAGTTAATTAACTGGGCGATCATAAACTGGGATCTTGCGCTTTCTCTGCTAGCGTACCACTAGCCCGAGAGCCAGTTGTGTTAGCCCTGCGGTTGCCATGCCAACGAGGATGCTAAATTCAGCTCAATCTGGGTGGGTTGTTTTTTTTTTTTTAAAAACCGCAGCCCTCAGTCTGTGCTCAGGGCCAGGAAAGGAGCCCAGGCATCCCGGCTCCCGCCCTGCCCAGGACGAGCCGTCTCGCAGAGCCTGCTGCGCAGGTCGGGGATCCCCGTGGGACCGCAAAGGGGGTGCCCCCGGCTCACTGAAAACCAAAGCGCGGGGGACAGGGAGCAGCGGTGCCTGGTGCCGTTTTTAAAAACCGCAGCCCTCAGTCTGTGCTCAGGGCCAGGAAAGGAGCCCAGGCATCCCGGCTCCCGCCCTGCCCAGGACGAGCCGTCTCGCAGAGCCTGCTGCGCAGGTCGGGGATCCCCGTGGGACCGCAAAGGGGGTGCCCCCGGCTCACTGAAAACCAAAGCGCGGGGGACAGGGAGCAGCGGTGCCTGGTGCCGGCCCCGGGGGGTGTGGCTCTACCTCGGAGACCCATCTCTGTCTCCCCATGCAGCCTGTGTCCCCACCAGCGCCATGCTAACAGGAGCAGGGAGCCTTAGCGTCA